AAAGTGTGGGGTGGAGGAGAGAGGGAAAGTTTTGAGTTCTCTAGTTTTGTTCACTTTCCAAATTACCAGGTAGTTTTTTTAGGAACTGTACTTACGTGCAAGAGCACTGGTCTACGGGGGTGCTTAAAGCATTAAACTGCAAGTGGAGCCAATTCCTTTCCCTGTTTGTTTCGTGTGCCCCAGTCTGAAATTTTCAGCAAGATTCCCCTTCACTCCTTGCTGGCTTCCATCTTTTGCTTCTTTTGCGGGAAACAAAAATGTTCCCTAAAAGTCTGCTTTAGGGTACTATCCTTAGGTCTCCTCCTGTGCTGCCAAATTTTGTCAGGAATGTCATTCATAGAACATAACCTCTTCCGGCACCACTTCCAAGATGCACTTTTCACTTCTTCTGAGTCCCAGACTTATATTTCCAGCCATCTCTTTTACACATTCCCATATATCCTTTAACCTAGAATCAGACACTTCTCTGGGCTGACTTGTTTTGGTTACTGGCAGAGTATTCGTTCAGTGAGCTAGGTTTAGAATTACTAAGAGTCAAGGACACTTGATCATTACCCCAATTCCTTCACCGTGAGTGGGGAACCAAAGAGAACAGTGATGCTGCCAGTTATTTGCTGGCTTGTTGACAATCCCTGACGTTGAGGACAATCCCAACAGAACTACCACAGGCTCAGGAATGTGGCCTCCTCTCCCTCCTTCCTCCCCTGTTGAGTGTTGACGTGGATAATTAAGTATTAATATATGTCCTTGCTTACCTTATTATTCCACATTCACGGCCAAGTATTCACTGAGCAGCCCCACCCCCACCCCGTGCCCCTGGTATGGTTCTAGGCATTGGGGGGAGAATGGCCAATGAGTCAGACCAGGTCCCTGCTGCTCTGAAGCTTGCATGCTGGTAGGGAATACACACGAGGATCAGGAAGCCAGCAAATCTCTTAATGGTGTGCTATGAAGTAAATAAACAGGGCCACACCTGAAGATGAGCAGCATAACCACAGAGAAGGTAGTGAGAGGCCACTGTGGGGAGTGACCATTGAGCTAAGATCAAAATGTAATGGAGGCCAGTTCCCATCAGAGGAAACAGCAAGTACAAAGGGTGGTGGGATGTTCTACAAGGAGAGGCCGTACAGACAAGGCTGAGAGGGGGTCTGGGGAAGAGTGAATGGGCCCTGGGCAGTCATAGGAAGGAGTCTGAACTTTATTCTACAGGAGGTGCAAAGTTCCTTTTGTGAAGAAGATGACTTCTTAAAGACAAATATCAGAACAGATAATGAAAGGTACCTTCTGATTATTCAGGTTCAGTCAACTTTATTTATATAGGGTTTTAAAAAAAATCTACATAGGTCCTTTAGGTTTTATTTAAAAGAAAAATCCAATGTGCATATATCTGTTCATGTGTAATGTCTAATGGTAAAGAAATAATGGCAATAAAAATCCATTGAAGGAAAAAGAGAGTTTAGTCAGTAAAATCTTTTCAAGAAAGATATTAGAAGTCATTATTATTATTATTATTCCAAGAATCCCTAAGAACTCTACAATGACATAAGACAGTATTTTATGAAGGTATAAAAAAAAAAATCAATATTACCTGTCAAGTACTATCTCTTGCAGGTGCAACCAAAACTGCTAAGGTTATGTGAACAAGAAATGAAGAAATCCCTGGTGTCTATTACAGAAAGCTTTTAATAGAACTTGCCTTGACAACTGATTCCTAAATCTTCCTTTTCCCCCCAGCTCAATACAATATTGCTACTTAATTTCACAAATGTGCAGAGCTGTTTTTAGGCACTACTTGGGGAATAAGTATTAAGAGTTCAAGTAAATGCAAATAATGTTTTTGGTACTTTTTCTCAAAAGATTTCAATGAGAAAACAGACTATAATATTAAGCTGTATTATGTGTATGTAGTTTCTACAGTTATCTGTAACTTGGTATCTTTTGCAGTACATAAGGGAAATGGTCCTAGTGTTCTTATTCAGGCTTAAAACTAGGGTTTGCTTTGTAACTCTATCAGGAACTGACAACCTTGTAATGCTGGAAATCACAAGATATTATGAAATATTCTCTCTGTTTGCTCAGTTCCATAAAGTTTACTACAGACTCTTCCCCCCTATTCTCTGACCTCAGGGGAAACATGACTGATTTCTAGAGATAAACTTACTTATTGTAATAGGTGAATGCAATTAGGTGTCTCCCCGCCTCTCTCCACAAACCTACTGGAGTCTTGACAACTCAATTTTAGATTTCCTTAAATAACTTTTTCCTTTTAGTAGCCCCATTCCCACCCCCAATTAAAATGATGAATTAGATGGGGAGTGTTAGGTGGCACTGCGTGCCTTGAGAGATGCGGGTGTCCTACCCCCAGGGAAGGGAACTGTAAGCAAGGAGTGAGCATCATGTGATGAAGCGTTTACTGATGTGGGCAAAACTGTGTCCTGTGGTCCATTATGGGTCCACCTCAGTCATCCAGTCTCCTCTGGTGAACATTCTCTGACTCGAACAATCTGGACAGGCTTTGCCACTCTGGACCTAGGTGTGTCTGGGCTTTGCAAACCCTGGGATCAAGTCCCAGGGCTTCCAGCTCACACTGGGTTGTTGTCCAGTAAAGGTGGTCAAAGGTGCCGAATACTATAGTATTGCCACAGGCTGAGCTGGTACAAAGCTCTCATCCATGAAAAATGTTTTCTAGGAAAGAGAGGATAGTGTTAAGGAGCACGGGCTGGACAGTTGGACTGCCTGCATCTCAATCCTTGCTTCCCCACTGATGAGCGGTGTGATCTCAGCCAAGTGGCCCCACTTCTCTGAGCCAAAGCACTTAAAATGTACTTAGCACATAAGAAACATTCAACACCAAAGCGCTTAGGATCATGGAGGATTTTATTGTTTTCCACAGCATAAGGCACTTATTTTTTAACGTGCTTTTTCTTTTTTAAAGAAAAAGCAATCACAGTGAATGCACTGGTAAATAGCTATTATCAGAACAATACATGCTTATCTACAAAATCATTTCTTTCTGAACCAACCAGCATCAGGGAATACCGCTGGTTACCTAAAAAATGGTGAGAATTTCGTATGGTTCCCTATTCTTCGCGTATCTTTGCTGTGTTTTGAATCATTTCTTTTACATATTAGGTTTGTGGGGAAGGAGATTTAGAAATTTCATTTCCATTACTTTGAATTATCTCCACTCCCCACCCCATCCCAGGTGCCCCAGCCTACTGAGCACCTTGCACACGTCATACAACAGAGAGGGCTCTGGCGGTCTGTTAGGATTCCTGTTCCCTGTGCTCCCAACAGCTCCACACCTGCATTTACGACCCTGCCGTCTGATTCTGAAAGTCAGCACATCCCAGGCCTCGGACGCGTTGCTTCTTACCTTTTACTGACCTCCTGTTCCTGACCTCTTCAAGCCACACCTGTTGTCGAGAAAAATGAACACAGAGCAACTCTGCGGCAAAATACTAAAACAGGAGCATTCTAATTTTGAAAGATTTTAATTTTCTTGTGCCACAACACAACGAGCTACTGGTGCATCACCGATCTGTAGCATAATTAACTTCTCGTCTTTTGTGCCTTATGAATTTACATATGTAATTATCCTTCTCTTTAATTTTTCACGGTTTTGCTACATTGACTAAAACTTTTTTTTTAAAGATTTTATTTATTTATTTGAGAGAGAGAATGAGAGATAGAGAGAGAGCATGAGAGAGGGGAGGGTCAGAGGGAGAAGCAGACTCCCCGCTGAGCAGGGAGCCCGATGTGGGACTCGATCCCGGGACTCCAGGATCATGACCTGAGCCAAAGGCAGTCGCTTAACCAACTGAGCCACCCAGGCGCCCTGGCTAAAACTTTTTAACAAGAAAGTCTTTTGATTTAATGGACTTTGCAGTTCATTTGTAACTGGTTGTTTGGGTCTGATGGATGCCACCACCTGGCGCCGTGAGGTTGTTCGGGTGGGACGGAGTGCCGGGGCTCCCCATCGGACGTGGCAACAAACGCTATCTTGCGTGGTTGGCAGCCGCACAGAAGCAGCGGCAAAGGAGCTCACATAAAAACGGTGTTGATTTTAAACCACCCGCTCTCCTTTGCCAACGGATCCCGCCCCCTGTTCATTTCATCCAAGTCGGCGCCGATTCAGATCACAGGGCTGAATGTATTGTTTTTGTGCCCGCCAGGGTTTCTGCTTTCTTTTCAGAACTCTGCATCGACTCCCGCTTGCTCTGTCTAAGGAGACACAGCAAAGAGGGCCATCCCCATCACACAAGAATGCCAATCTGCGGAGCTCCTGTGCCCTCGGAGGGGACCGTGAAGAAACTCAAAACAGACAGAGAGGCGGCGCTTTGGGGCTTCAGTTCTAGTCTCTGGGGCGGGGGGGGAGGTTTATAGAGATGGCCAATTTTTGTGCCAAGGAGGCTTTTCTCGTCACCCAGAAGGCAAATTCAACTTTGACTAGCATCGAATGCATCGTCGACAATAGTAGGAGTCTCAAAATTTAATAGCAAGTGTTGTATACTCAGTTCTGTGCCAAAAAAAAAAAAAAAAAAGGCCACGCAGCTCTGCTAATGGGATACAATGATTTGCTTTGTTAGGACGGAAAGGTGATGACCTTTGTTTCTGCCTAGTATTTTGGGAGTTGTGAACACAATCTAAAACAATCAGATGCGGTTTGTTCACGGAATTATCAAAGACCGCACTTGGATATCAAGGTGGGATGGAGGGTGACAGGTAGACTTTTACCATCCGCTACGGAGAAGCAATCGATTTCACAGGCAGAGCTGAGAAACACATCATTAGGAGAACTGACTCAAACACTGAGGCAGCAAGATTCTAATATCATTTATTCCTTTGTTTTCAGGCTTTCCCCACCCCCCTCTTTTTTAAGGGGAGGGCAGCTCTTTATTTTGAATATAACTTGGGCTAGGAGGATAGGACCCAGCTCTCTGATTTATGCAAAACGACATAAATCCACAAATCGGCCTGGAATACTTTTATATTTCAACAGGGGGGTAAGAAACCAGTGGAAGTGAACCGTGGACTTGGAGCAATCTATGGGTCTAGGAATGAAGGACAGACACAGGCTCAAGGGGCAGTCACTTTTCCTCCATTAGGCCCAGGAGATCATCTTCTATTCCCTTCTCACTCAGCTCATCCAAACTGTAGTATCGATGAATGATTTTCTCGGCGGTGACCACCACAACTCGGAGCCCGTGGGTGTCTTGGCCCAACTGGCACCCAATGGCTGACGACACCACCATGTCCAGGTTCTGGTAGGTGCCCCTGGCATTCCGGTGGTAGTGGCCTGAGAACACAGCTGTGACACCTGCAGGGGAGGGAACAAAACATTAGGGGGCCAAGGATCTCCATTTAGGGAACTGGGGGCTCCACGGCTTCCTTCTGGGAGCAATACAGTATATTATGAAATTAAATGTGCTAATATTACTCAGTGCATAATAAACGAGAAGACTGCATGTGTGACATCCAGAATCCTCGCAAGGATAATTTATTGATACAACATATTAACACATTTGTCATAAGTGGTACAAGAAAGTGCTAGGGAAAAAGAAGAGAGAAGATGAAGTGACTGACTTTGGGAGAGATACAGGAAGCGGAAGGAAATATTTTGAGGCCTGTATAAACAGCCATATGATGGAAGTTAAATGTCTAGAAAAAAGAATGTTTATGGAGTTCTATTCAAGACAGCACAGCATGCTCAACATTTAATGTACCTCCTCCGCTCTACACTCAAGAGCCATGATGGATAAAATCTAAAAAAGAAAACCAAAGGACAGAAGTGGCCTCAAAATCAAAACAAATAGCTCCATGGATGAGAAACAAGGCAGAAAGGCAGAGTAACGAGAGGGGTTACAGTGCTGCTGGGAGTTAAGCTCCTGGAGGGTGACAGAGACTGCAAGCAGTTTCTGTGACAGGAGGAAATAAAGCCTGGCCCCCATTTGAAAGACAGTTGGCGTGGGAACCTCTGTTTATGGAAAGAGGATGCAAAAAACCATTGCAGCCTGCTGCCTGGGGCTAGGGTCGTGGTATGCAGGTGTTTCTAACAAGTCCTCCAGAAAATAAAAGAGAACCAATCTGTAATGTTTACTAATTTCCATGGAGGTGAACACTCTGATGGTGGCTGATTTCAAATTACCGATGACGTGACGTCACTGCCCAGACGTGGGAAGAGATGCCTGGTAGCGTCATTATATAGTGCTTCTACCACACAGACACAAAAGCTGTGAGATACCTTGCCAGCATGGTAATAGCAACACATAGCAAGATAGAAAATAATCAGTTTTGAGTAGTTATTACCTTTGCTTTTTATTATAATTTATTTAATGGTGAGTTTGTAGAATTTAATGTTTAGTAATGGTTGTTTAACAAGGAGCTCACAAAATTCCTTAAAATTTAATAATTGGTTTTCGTAAACTGGGTAGGAGCTGACTGCAGCACAGCACTGGGCTAGGGCTTGTAGCAATCTATGGGTCTAGGAATGAAGGACAGACACATGCTCAAGTCTAGGAAATGAGACATGTTTTCTCAGCGTGACTGTGGACAAGGGCCCTCAAGCTCTACTATAAGACCTGGCCCTGGGTGGGGGCTGGGGTGGAGGTGACCCAAACCACTAGACAAGGAGAAGCTATTCAAGAGACAAAGTGAAGGAAAAACCAAAGCTGAAATTACCTCTTAATCAAATTGAATCTGAAATAAATCCCACCACCTGTGAAGAAATTTCATGCTAACTAAGTCTACAGACTCCTCAATCAGGAATATGAATTCACTCCAGGTGAAATGAATGATATAAAACTGCCTGAAAAATATTTAAAATGAGTATGTTTAGGGCATCAAAAAGTCCTTAATAAAGGAAAAGAACCAGATGTTATGAAACAAAACAGGCATGAATTCAGTGAAAATAACTGGTAATGAAAGCTTAGAAACAGTGGCCATTAAAGACAGCCATTAAAACAGAACACAAAGACAACTCTCAATAAATGGGATAAATTCTAAACTGGACACTAATCAGAGAGGAAATCAGTGAATTAAGAGACAGAATGGAGGCACTGAACCAACCAAAAGGCAACACAGAGACTCAGACACAAGCAATAAGAACACGCAGTTCAAAGAACCCAAAGAATGGATAAAGGGGTATCAATGTATGCTTAAGAGGGGGTGCAACAGGAGAAAGGAGGAAATAATAGTAAGAATAACTTGAAGAAACAATTGTTGGGGATTTTCCAAAATGAAGGAATATATAGGTCTTCAGATATAAAGTACTAAGTAGGATAAATAAAAATCAATTTGTATCATGGGGATATTGTGGAGCATCCAACAAAAAAACCCTAAAAATATATCATGGCAAAAATACTATAAAGGAATGACAATTAGATAGCAGGCACTCCAGCAATAACAGAATCAAAGAGTAATGCCTTCCAGAGCTGAGGGGAAGCAACTATGAACCTCAAATTTTATACCCAGCTAAACCATCATTCAAGTTAAAGGGCAAAAGAAATACATGCTGGGGCATACGAAGAAGAGTTTAGCACTTACAAACCTTCACTGAAAGAATTATTAGGAGATATGTTTCAGCAAGGAAGGAATGAAATATTAAAAAACAATGATGAGCTAACACTGATAAAAATATTTTGGTAAATTTAATTAACTACTGATTTTCTTTGAAAACCTCTTTTCTAAAATGTAAAAGTAAAACTAAAGCTCAAGAATGTCAAGATGGGACGTTCAATGGATAATTAGAGCACATAAAAGCTATTGTCATGTTTGGAAGGAAGAAGAAAATAATGAAAATAATTTTATTTTGCTAGAACAAAATGCATAATTAACATGCTTCTTAAAAATGTTTGGGCACAAGCAACCAAATTAAAAATAGGCAAACTGTACTTCATCAAAATTTTAAACTTTTGTGCATCAAAGAACACCATCAACAATATGAAAAGATAACCCATGGAATGGGAGTGAATATTTGCAAATCATCTACCTGATAAAGGTCTAACATCCAGAAAATATGAAGAGATGGATATGAAAAATACAAAAACATGTTAAATGTCACTAATCATCAGTGCAATGAAAATCAAAACCATAATGAGATTTCACTTCACATCCACTAGGATGGCTATCATCAAAAAGATGGAAAATAACAGGGATCTGGAGCCATTGGAACCCTTGTAGAGTGCTGGTGGAAATATAAAATGGTGCAGCCATTCTGGAAAACGCTCTGGCAGTTCCTTAAAAAGTTAAACATACAGCCACCATGTGACCCAGCAGTTCCACTCCTAGGTATCTACTCAGGAGAAAGGAAAACACACAGCCATGTAAAAACTTGTGCATGAAGGTTCACAACAGCATTACTCATAGTAGCCAAAAGAGCAGAAACAACCTAAATGTCCATTTGAACTGATGAATAAACAAAATGTGGCACATCCATTTGATGGAAGATTGTCCAGCTGTCAAAAGGACTGAAGAGTACTGACACATGCTCCAACACGGACTGACCTCGAAAACATCACGCTCAGTGAAAGAAGTCAGATGCAAAAGGCCTCGCACTGTATGATTCCATGTATATGAAATGTCCAGAATAGGCAACTCCAGAGACGGAAAGATTATTGTTTGTCGAGGGCTGCAGGGGGAGGGACAAGGGGAAGCAGGAGTGACTGCTAATGGGCACAGTGTTTCTTTGTGGAATGGTGACGGTATGGAATCAGACAGTGGTGATGGCTGTACAACCTCATGACTATATTAAAACCACTGAATTTGGGGCGCCTGGGTGGCTTAGTCGTTGAGTGTCTGCCTTCGGCTCAGGTCATGATCCCGGGGTCCTGGGATCGAGCCCCGCATCAGGCTCCCTGCTCAGTGGGAAGCCTGCTTCTCCCTCTCCCACTCCCCCTGCTTGTGTTCCCTCTCTCGCTGTGTCTCTCTCTGTCAAATAAATAAATAAAATCTTCAAAAAAAAAACACCGAACTTTTTCATGTTAAAAGTGTGAATTTTATGGTATAGCTCAATAAAAAAAAAAAAAAATGCAAAAAAAATATATGGGAAGGGAAGGAGGCCAGAATGCTCCGTGTGGCAGTGATGGGAGGCAGAGACATCAGTATGAACTCATGTTTACCTTAATACCATGTTAAAAACAGAGAATGACAGAGACATTGACAGATGTATACGGACACAGATTAGTATAAAGACACGTATTTCCTTGCTCTGTCGGCTGTCAGTGCCTAGAAAGAAGGGCACATACTGGCCATGAGCACACCTAGTGTCCAGATCTTGGTTTCTAATACCATTCTCCAATAAAAGGATCCTCGGAGACTTGGCTGACTATGGGGCTGGGGCAGGAAATCTATAAGATGAGCCCGGAGCATCTTGTTGGGCCAGAAAGGAAGGAAGTGCTCAAAAGCTCGAGCTGATGGGGGTGTGTCAGAGAGACACAGGAATCAACAGAAAGAGCTCCCCACAGCCAGACCTTAACAACTTAAGCAACAAAATAAACTCGTGCCAAAGTATAAAAAATAAATCCACGAGTCCAAATTAATATAAATAAATAAATGTGGGAAAAAGAGACAAAATCTCCCATACCTTAGAAGAACAAATAATTTATGTCGATCTTCTGCCCTTAGGAAGGTGAAGCTCCCTGTACGTGTGGACTGTGCATATGGACTTCTTTCCCAGAGTCACTTAACAGTGGAGACATGGGCCAAACATCAACAGGGATGGGAAGTCAGGTTGTTAGTCTGCACCCCTGATGCACCTTGATGACTGTGATAAAAACGGCACACCTGTGTGGTCTTCCTCCTCCCAATCCAGGACTCCAGCATGAGAAAACCATCAGACCAATCCCCACACAGAGACATTCTACAAACACCTGACCAGTACTTCTCGAGAAACTGTCAAGGTCATCAAAAACAAGGGCAGTCTGAGAAATGGTCACAGCAGAGAGGAGATTAAGGAGGTGTGATGCCTAAGAGAGGTTTGCTATGCTAGATGGGATCCTGGAGCAGAAACAGGACATTAGGTAAAAAAGTAAGGGAACCTGATTATGGGCTTTCATTAATAAAAGTGCATCAATATCACTTCATTAATTATAGCAAATGTACCATATTAGTGTAAGATACTAATAACGGGAAACTAGGGGCAGGTGTACATGGGGAGTGTCTATATTATCTCTGCAATTTTTATGAAACAATTTTTTGAAATTGTTCCAAAATTAAAAAGTTTATTTAAAAAAAACCATACGGATAATTTCCAAAACAACCAAATAGAATATGCAGCTTTCAATCAGCAAAGAGGCAGGGGAAAAAATCAGAATGACTACA